TGATATGGTGGTGGTGGGGCGACGTGCGGGGGCCAAAAAACTGAATTTTGAATTTTATTTTTTTTTTATTTTTTTTTTAATTAAAGGATAATTTTGTATTTTACGGGTGCGGTACGTAGTAAAACGGGTGCGGTATTTAGCAATTCAGAACTCCATTAATTTTGGTAAAATTATGTCACATTGATATGACACATAATCTTCAAATAAAAAATTAATTGTTGACTTACTAATATAAACAATATCAATGGGCTCCACATATCAACCAATTTAATCAGATTTTGGTAACAAATTTGATCGGATTTTGATAACAAATCTCAGATTTTTGTAAAAAAATTTTTTGATAACAAATCTCGAATTTTGTTAACAAATTTGATCTGATTGTGATAACAAATCTCGGATTGTGATTACAAATCTCGAATTTTGATAACACTTTTTAAAATATCTGTTTTTTTGGTAGCACACTTCATAGTTATTTATACACAATATATTGCCGATAATCTTTGAGATTTCTTTTGGTAACAAATTTTACAATTTTTTCAAATTGTTTGGAGTTAAATATTGCAGAAACAAATCTCGAGATTTGATAAATGATACATATCAAAATAAAAATATTATTTTTCAATCAATCTAAAAAGTCTTACTAAATTAAATTGTAACAAACTCCATTAATTTTGGTAAACATTATGCCACATTGATATAACACATAATCTTCAATAATCGACAAAATTCAAGACACATGTAACACGTTGCACATTTTTTTTTTGTTTTGCTTTAACAAAAACGGATAAACATATTTTTTGTAGTTGATCGTAATAACATTTGTTGACAACCGACCTGATTTTTCAGATATTTCCAAGATTAAAAGAAGAATTTATTAATATTATTCTCAACACTTCTTTCAGCCCTATTCCTACAACAAACTTAAATCCACCTCGGTATAAATAAGGAAGTAAACCGACTTCACACATAAAAACGAACCGACTTCACTTACGTCGGTGGACCGACCTCACACTAAAGACAAAAACCGACTTTTCGAATATTCTTTCTTGAAGATTATCCACACAAACCGATGTCCAAGATAGTTGGATCCCAAAGCAAGTAACAAGGCACGTGTCTGATTGGACCACATATTACTCCTGTAATGACGATGACTTGCCACCAAATCAGACCCAAAACGTTGTGTACAAAGAAGTGTTTACTAATTTATAAAGTTTTAAATTTATTTATTTCCATTTTATATTTGTTACATATCTACAAAGTGCATTAAATTTAATATTAATATTAAAAAAATTTCAGAAAAATATATCATCTCATGCATCGCACGGGTATGTACTAGTTAGATAAATAAAACAATATATAAATGTATACTAATATAATAATAGATTAGGGTACAGACAAGAATCCTACGCGCCTAGGAGATTGACTTATGATGGGCTGTGCCCTGTGGTAGAAATTTAATAAAAATAAATTAATTAGATAAAATTGGGATCGTTGGATTGAGTTGAAAAGTCTTCCTACAGTTGTACTTTGTTCTTCTCCCATGTTCACAGTGCAACTCTGTACTTTATTTTCTTTCTCCTATCTTCTTCTCTGCTCTGTATCTCATTTAGATTTTTATTTTTCAAACATATTTTTTCTTAACTTTAATTTGTATTCCTCGGTCTAGAGTTATTTCAATTGTGTGATCCAGAGTTTTCCTCGGTCTTCTTGTATTATATGTTCAAATCCTTACTGCAAAGATTGAATTTTTATTTAAATTTTCTTTATCATTTTTTGTCAATTCACACCAACGGAATGCCTATTCGAATCATATTCATTCAAATTTCTCTTATCAACCATATTTCTACTCGTTTCTTCAATTTTGTAAAGGTAATTCAATTGACTGGTCTTGATTTTCATTTATTTTTGTTTCATTTGTTGTTTGTTGGTATTCTATGTTCAGATCCGACTTGCAAGATATAATTTTTATTGGTATTCTTTGTTCAGATCCGACTTCAAGATATAATTTTTATTCGTTTGTTATCCATTATCAATATGAATGGATTGTTTAAAACTTATTGGTTACAGACAATTGGAATCAACTTGATCCAGTGTGTCCCTGAAGAACCGGATCTGATTGATACAAAAGGTAATTAATTTGTACATCTGAATTTTTCCCAGGATCTGATTGAATCTGATTGATACAAAAGATAATTAATTTGTATATCTGATTTTTTCCCAGGATCTGTTTGATACAAAAAGGTTATTAATTTGTACAATTTTCCCAAGTTTTGTTGTCCAAGGTTTTGTTTTTATATTTATTTTTAAATTATCAGATCGTTTCTATTTGCAAGATTCAGTCTTTCATTACTATATTACTCCTTGTGTAATTGTCATATTTCAAGTTTCAATCTTTCATCGATATGTTAGCCTGCGAGGTTCAATTTTTCATTGATATGTTTGTCATATTTCAAAATTCAATCTTTCTTTGATATGTTAGCCTGCAAGGTTCAATTTTTCATTGATATGTTTATCATATTTCAAGATTCAATCTTTCATTGGTTTGCCTGCAAGATCCAATTTTTCATTGATATGTGTGTTCTCCTATGCAGCCCGTGCAACACCTAGGCACAAAAGAGATCTCGACTAAGCTGAAGACGATGTTGTCAACCCAAAGCCACCACCTGGTGCCAAAAACAGCGTCGGGTGGACACCACTGTATAGGTAGCTTTTGTGATCCATAAGCCAGATTTGAATACCAAAAGCTCGTAGCTTTAATTCAATGCATTTGGTTCTGACTTTAAACGTGGCTATTAGTGTTTACGAAATGATTTTACCAACTGAAGAATCACTTTTTTTTTCTTCAAATTGTTTTCATTCACAACCTGCAAATCTAACTGGTGATGTGATTACTACTATGCTTGAGTTTATATAGATTCCAAACATTTGGATCAATTTATCATTTTTTCTTTTATGTGTTCAATATCCACATCTAGTTGACCTTTCTTGTAAACTTTTTTCTACGAATGAATGCACTGCGCTTGATATGTCTTTACACTGGTAGAGATTTATGAAATGACCAATCTACTAAAACTGTTTTTGCTGCAATTTATAAATTTACATTTTTTTGGGGGGTTTATGTTGAAAAAGTGTATATTGTAAGTTGTTTTATGTTCTTGAGAGGAGATGAGTGGGCCTAATTTGGAGCTTCATTAGTTAGTGTGTTTTTAGGTAATTCATAAAACTCTCTATGACATTTATGCTCTTCTTGTGAAATTGCATGTTTTTCGTAAATTTAACATATGTTATCAATTGAGTTTGCTGTAGGTAATGTTAATGGTTAAATGTTATAAGATGATGTATGTGTGAGAGTATATGTGTTTTACCTTTGCCACATAATTTTCAATAGACTGTGCATTATCTATACTTTGTACCATTATATGAAATATCATTATTGGTTATGCATATAGTCGCATATAGTGTGTGTGTGTGTGTGTGTTATTATATTTCATCTTTGGTAAATACTCTAAACCATAGCTTTTAAAATTATCCTTTCTTTTAAGTCTCTCTTTCTCTAAAATGAGGAGTCATGTTTCGATGATCTCTGGTTCAATTTATTTTTTAATTCCTTCATGTATTTATGTGTCATTATCTTCTCCATTAGAGTTGTTTTTATATCAGTCACTTCTCGTTTAATTTGTTTCAAAATTTTTACGCACCTCAGCTTATGTAACTAATGTACTCTTACTTGAAATTTGTAAACCTCTAATTGCCTTTCGCTGCCATGCAACTAATATACTTTTCTGCAAGATGTATTGTATGATTATATTGAGAATCAAGTCTTGCTAGAATATGAGGTGCTGCTTGAGCATTTTGTCTGTTTTATGGTTTTACTCGGTTGCACATCATAGGCTTTAACCTATTATTATTTTTTCTTCTCATTTTTAAAACAGTGAACTTATAGGATGCTCAGGAATGTCTCGAAATGATTGAAAAGTACCAAAAAAAAAAACCACATTGGATGGTGAGGACCTCTCTGATTTCAGGTAGCTCCAGCATCATCTGATTGTTCTCTTATTGCGCGTATGAATATTGCTTTAATTTTTAAATGTTTGCTATCACTCGCACTCATCCATTTCCCAGTTGTTCGATGAGGTCTTTGAAGGAGCTTGTTTCACCAATTTGTAAAATCGATTTGGGATTCTGAGAATTTGGTGTTTGCTGCTTCAAAATAACCTTCGATGTAAATTACGTTGTAAATTGTAACTCCTTTTTCTTAGATTCGATCGTACTTTTCGCTGGTAGGGATGAAGCTGTAGGACAGCTAGGCCGTGATTCCACTTTTTATGGTTTTGCACTATCTGCTTAGTTTGTAGTTTTGTGTTCGTCATGACAGTTTGAGTTTTTGTCTAGCTAGAGTATGTTGATTGCCAATAGCGATAGACTTTAGGGAATCTTTTAGTAAAAAGTTGTTTACTGCAATCTGAATTGGTTGCAATGTAAAATCATTGGATAGATTTTTCACCTAATTATATGTTTTTCGAGGGGCATTTTTGCGGACGAAGGTAATTTACATTTTTTGTTGGTGATATGGAGCTTTTTAGGAATGGAAAGGAAGAACATTAGCTGATGTAATGTTGTAGTTTAACCTGTCTACATTCATGTCGAGCTGAAATTTTTATATTTTGTGTATAGACTTCACAGAATAATTAAACAATTGCTTGTTCTCTTAGCTGCAACGAAGTATGTTGTTCTACTGACAGTCTAATTTATGACGACAGTGAATGGATTTTAATTAACTTCCTGTTGCTGGAAGAAAATTGCTATTGCTTTTTTTATTTGCGTACTGTCAATAGAATTTATCGATTTTGTGAGGTTTTCAAGTATTGGAAACTTCAGTAAATTTATTGTTTCGGGAGTTATATGGATGCTTTTAGCAAATCTTCATTCTTATTATATTCTCTTTCCTCTTAGGCACACAATTTACTAGGTTCTGGTTGTAAATACTAATATTGTTCTGTTGAATACCTTGAAGGAATTTGAGTTTCCGGAGATGAGTTCGGGTTCTCCTGATTCGTCAAATCCTCAGGATATCAAATCTGCAGAAACAAAAATGTCAACTTCAATGCAATCTGCACCAGATAATTCTGAACATGATGCACCTTCTAATTTTTCGGCTTCTGGCATTTCAACTTCGACGAAAAATCTTAAAATTTCCAAGCCATTTGTTGGTTGCCATTTTCACGTCTCACTTGTGGGTTTGGGTTGCGCTCATCTCCAAAATCTCCTCAGTCAGAAGGAAGCTCAGCTGAACCTTCACCAACTGCGCAATCAGGTTTTATTGGAACTATAACGAAAGGATTGGTTGACTCGTCCAAGAATGCAGTGAAGGCTGTGCTGGTTAAAGCTCGGCATGTTGTATCTCAAAATAAACGAAGATATCAGGTTATTTTCGTGCAACTGGGTCTTGATTGTTATAAACATGCTGTTTAACATGTTTTTCTTCTTCCTCTTCCATTACAACTTTCCTAAAATTGTCTCCTCTATTTATGATGGGTCTCAATTTTTTTGATTTCCTCGCTCTTAAAATTGTATGTTACTTTGATTACTCGTTTTCTGCAGGAAGGAGGAATTGATTTAGATATGACTTACATCACGGAGAATATTATTGCTATGGGCTTCCCTGCTGGTGATATGAGCTCTGGATTTTTGGTTATGTTGAGGTATAAAACTCCAGTTCATTTGAAGTTGCACCAACTTAGTCATAAATGGTTGTGCTAATTAGAACTTAGTGATGTTTGTGGTTCAGGGATTTTATCGGAACCACATGGAGGAAGTAATTAAGCTCTTTGAAACTTACCACAAGGTAATTGGCTGCACCCGCTATCAGATTTCACATTATTTACTTGAGCTCGGGATTTTGTGCTCAATCGAGAAAGAATAGGAATGTATTTGTTTAACAATGTAGTAAATTGCTGTTCACATCAAATTTTTGTCATTGATTTTATAATGCAATTAAAAGAGTGACTGAATGAATTCTGGTTGATCCCAATCACGCAGGACAAGTACAAAGTGTACAACCTTTGTTCTGAAAGATTGTATGATGCATCGTTATTTGAGGGAAAGGTTTGTATGTTCTCTATGTTATGAAATATTTTCTTGGGTTTACCTTTTCTGCATAAATTGACAGTTTTACAATATGGTTATTTAGCATCATTGTTAAAATTTTCACTAAATTGAATCTGGCTGATTTATACTAGTACTCGGTCCATGTGATTATGAATTTTTTATTCTTTGCCTTTTTCTCCAGGTGGCTAGTTTTCCTTTTGATGATCATAAATTCAACTAATCATATCATTTTGCCAAAGTGCATATTCATGGTTGAAAGAAGATATTGAGAATGTGGTGGTTGTGCATTGTAAAGCTGGAATGGCTAGGACAGGATTGATGATTTCCAGTCTTCTTCTGTATCTGAAGGTAAAATTAATCATGCTTACCATGGCTACTGGCTAGGACCAGATATTCTTCTATATTTGTAGTTAAGAAAATGTAGAGATTATTTTGGAATGAATGTTGTCTCATATTCCCAATTTAATCATAATTATTTTATTGTACAGTTATTCCCTACCGCTGAAGAATCAATTGACTACTACAATCAGAAAAGGTGTATTGATGGGAAAGGGCTTGTTCTGCCTAGTCAGATTGTGAGTCTTGTTACTTTTAAAGCAATTGTCGCCTAAGTTTTATTTTTAAGCTTCTTTATTACATTATACCTTTTAATATGCGTCTATCCCTTACAGAGATATGTCAAGTATTTTTAATGGATTTTGGCATATTTCAATGGAGAAAATCAGCCAGGTTGTAGGTACGTGATATATATGATTATATTGTGTGTAAACTTACTGATTTTCCAGTCAAAGAAGTTGATACGTAATCATGACAGCATAAGTATTCTCTTAGAGCATCTCCAATGTGACTTTTGACATTGCAAAAAATTATCCATATCATCAAGTTTTGAAAGTTTGTTACTAATTTATTCTTCAATGCATCTTGTCATTAGTTCTTTCATGATGATGTGGATAACATTTAATGTTGACAATGTTAAACTCACTTTCTAATATCTAACACCATGTTAAACATGATGACTCATTAATTCACTTTATATTTGGTTTAGTTTTTTATTATTTTTGTATTAATGAATTATTATAATTGGTCCACCTATACAAATAAATTCTTATCAAATTGGTGCATTGGAGATACTAGCTTGATTCAAATTTTTAGTCTTTTAACATTATTCCTATGTGGATTAACATTACAATCATTAATTGACATGTGTTAAAAATTATTGTCTTTCAAAACCATAGCATTAGAGATGCTCTTATATACGTGTTAGAAAACAGCGTCGGGGTGACAAGAGAATACAGATTTTAATCACCATGTGGTAGAGTTCTGAAATGATGCTGAATTGCACAATGCAGATGCATGCTTAGAGGATTTCGGCTGCACAGATGTCCATACTGGATTAAACCTTCCATTACAGTATCTGACCATAATGGTTACTCTCTATCTATATGTGTGCGTGTGTGTCGATTCCGTTTTGCTTTATGGCACACCTTTTGATGTTCTATTGTACATGTTTTTTAGCTATTTCTTTCTATCTGTAGGTGTTCTCTTTTCAACAAAGAAGCATCCAAGAACCAAAGATTTGTCGGTGAGTTGTTCCTTCTAGCACAGAGTTTCTGTCAGCGAATTATTTATTTTGATGTGACAGCCGTATACTCGGAAAGTTTGATTATTAAACAACCCAAGGTTGAATATGACAAAACAGCTCAGAAAACACTGAAAAACAACCAGCTTTGGGGTTCGTTTTCCTCTTTATTCTTCAGATTTAGCTGAGTTGAATATATCTTTCGGTTTCTGATCCTTTCTGATCACCTTTTCTCTTTTTTTCTCATTTGGCATTTGTTGGAACTAGAGGCAGATCTCAAGTGAAAACATACACAAGACTGATTGCTCATTGAATTACATTGCAATATTTCACTGCACAAGACAATATAATATCCAAGGCTGTCTGGCATTACAAAGCATATAACTAGAATTTTTTTTCTTGTTGGGACTTCATAATTGCTTCTCTAAACTTGATTCTTTCATTTCTAATGGATATTTAAATTGCAGAAAAAGCCAAGATACGTGTCTGGAATCACAGAAGATACTATGTGACTCTAAGAATTTTTTATTTTGCTTCTTACTTACCCTTCTTCATTGCCTCTTTCTTTAGAAAGAAATATATATATATATATATATTAATTTTTGTAACTATAATATTGTTATTTTTTATTTGAATGAACAAAATATATATTATTTGTTGGGTTGTAAATTGTTATTTTTTATATAAATGTATAACAAAAAACTAGTTACGAAATATATTTGTTTCTAATTTATATTTATATGTGTTTTCATATTACTTGGCACAATTAAAATAATAGTAAAAAAATATATAATATAAACAAATAGAATTAGACATTTATATATAGGGTGTGAACATTCTATAATAGGTTTAATCAAAACATTATGAAAGTATTTGTACAATATTTCTAGTATATTCATTTGAATAAAAAATCATAAAAGTATTTGTAAAATATTTCTAGGAGATTTCTAAAGAAGTTTAAATAAATTTGTGAAGAGATTAAGAAATTATTGATAGTAAATTCAAATAATATAACCTTTTTTAAAATATAATTAAAAGTTAATATAATACTATTATATTTATCATTTAATTTTATATGTTTCACAATAATAATATAAAATAAAAATATTATTTGTGCGTTATAATTTTTAATTTTATCTTTTGTGATGTAATTTTTAATGTTTCATCTTGTGCGTTCTAATTTTTAATTTTATCTTGTGTGTTGTAATTTTTCAATTTAAACTTATAATGAATATTAATTTCTCCGATTATGTATATGATTATAACTTTATAATTAATTTTATTATATAAAGTCCAAGTTGAATTTAAAATAATAGGATGGTTTAATTTGTAAAGTTGTAAAAATATATGGATAGTATTGAAAAGTTGTAAAAGTTGATGTGAAAGGGAATATTCCGAGAATATTCTTTTGAGTTTGAAAATGAGTTTTTCGGTTGGAGATGAATTACTGCAAAATGTGACAGTTACTGCAAAATGGGTTTGAGTATGAAGTTTTCGGTTGGAGATAGTCTAAGCTGCTTGCGGCTGCCTTCTTTGTTTCAGCTGATTTCCCTAAAAAGGCGTGAAATATAAAATAATGGGCTCCATAAATTGGGCTTTGTTGCAATTTTCCAGTTTATTTTTATTATGTAAAAGCGAAAGAAAAGTCCAGTTCCATCACATTATTTGTTTACTATGTTTGTGTTTATAATATATTAATTAATATAATTATGTAGAGTGTGAATTTATTACAAATTAATATAGTTTTATTTTGTAGGTACTGAAAATAAATAAAACAAATAAGATATTTAATATTAATTTTTAAGTTTTGCCTAGACGGTAGGCTCGAGTATCTAGCGACCACCTAACGATCTTTGGAGTACTGTTTCTGAGTAGAGATTATGCCTGGAAATCATATATTTTAAACTGGGTCTGGGAATTGATCCGGACAGGTCTTCGTGTCACTAGGTCATCGATTCAATCGTCGGTTCAACAATTGAATAACTAATTTTATAATTCTTAATATATAATAGAGTACTTTGTCATATAAATATATATAAAAGTAACACAATTAAATATTTTGTATACAAAATTTATACATTAAAGTGTCAATAATATGTATCTCCTGATAGTATTCACCATATAAATGTATATACATTGTTCTATTTTTTTAAAAACAAAAAATATTTTAAAAAAATAAAATAAAAAATATGGAGGGGCTGGGTCAACCGTGTTGACCCAACCAGGTGAATACCCCGGGTCGACCGGGTCAAGTCCAGGTTGGTCGGGTTTGACCGGGCCCTTTGTTGCCCGATTCGAATAGCTCACTTGGACCGGTTTTGGCCAACTGGGTCCCGAGACACGCCGGGCCGATCTGATTTGAAAAACAATGCTTGAAATAAAACAAAAGACGATAACACAAAAATTCACATTGAAAATCTTAAACCATCGCACTTTCACTTTATTGTATTTTTATTGAGAAAAGTACTAAAGAAATCATTTCTCATAATAATAATAATAATAATAATAATAATAATAATAATACTTAATCATGGTTCAACTTCAAGTTCAGCCTCAGGCTCAGGGATGTTTGGGAGGTCGACCCACTCGCTAAGCGAAAAATAGCGTCCCGCAGCACGGAAAGGTAGCAACCTAGTCGTGCTCTTCTCGCCCAAGTCGTAGACATTCGCCGCTCTGCCTTTCTTATCCGTGTAGTATATGGAATTGGGCCGACATACTCCTCCCCCGGTGGAGGAGAGGCGGCAAAACCCACCCCCTCGGTGGTTGACAAACAATGTCCAATCATCCAAACTGTCGAGCTCCACACACTCAACCCGACCCGCGACCTCTACTCGGAAGACCTTAAACTCCTCCCCGCCCTCGACAGGATAGCCTCTCATCAACTTCACGACAAGCAAGAGTCCTCTGCCGCCCGGTGCCTCGATTAGGTGGTCCTCGTGCCACATCACGCACTTGTTCCTTGCCATCGGGACCTCTAGGGTTCGACCCGACTCGTCCAATAGCGGTCTAAGCTCAACCCCACCGTCGACCACGTGCACTGTCACAAACTCGTAGCCACCTCATTTTCTTTTGTCGACTATACCGTACATCTTCCCTCAGAAGGAGGTCAAGGCAATGAGGCGGATGAGTTCGTCCGCTTCTCTCGGTGGTGAACTGACGGTGGTGCTGTCCCTGACTCGGAACACGGTCCGCTCTTCGAGGTTGGTGGAACAGAAGACGACGTGGCAGTCGGGCTCGTTTGGGGGCCCGGTCAAGACACACCGGTTGAAGCATAACGCGTCTTGCAGGCAGGGAAGGCCGATCTCGCGCATCAATACCGGATTCCACAGGCAGGATTCACCGGTAAGGTAGTCCACAAGGACGAGCCATCCGTGGCCGGAGCCAAGTATGCGCTTGCCGCACAAGATAAAGAGAACAATAGTCTTCCACTGGCCATCAACCAAACTGTAGAAGGATTGTCGGTCGAAAAAGGTGCCGTGTGACGTCATGAGCAGGGGAAGCTTCTCGTCATTATCGGTCATCTCTGATTATATTGCCAAAAAAAACAAAGCCAACTGATTAAACCACCATCAATGACGTGCGGATGGCTCGTAAAACACAAAGGAAAATTAAATTCCTTTCAATAATTTATTGGGGAGTTTATTAGAATAAGGATATTCCAAATCAAAAGGGGTATGTAACGAATATGTAACAAAATTCATTGACGAGTAAGCAGTAATAAGCAATTGGACAAACAAAACTGCGCCATCAAGTAATACAAATAGTGATTATATTTACCGATCGATCCAATATTAATTAATGCGGAGATTGAAAGAATATTTACCGATCGATCCAAAATTAATTAATGGGGAGATTGAAAGAATCATACAAAGAGTGACTAGATTTACCGATTGATCCAGAATTAATTAATGTGGAGATTGAAAGAGAACTTCAGCAGATTCAATTTTGTCTACACTTAGGGCACGAAAAATAAAAATAGCAGTCCTAGGTCTATTATATGTACTTGTGACCGACCTAACTTATTCTTACTTCTTATAAAAGGGAAAATAATTAATTCCAGAGTAGGAATGTTTGTGTTTTAATTATGGTCCTGCGATATTTAGGAAATCAATTAATTAGACACAATCATAATTAGTTTAGGTTAATGTTTATTGCTTTCCTTAGTATACTATAAATATACACACTTGTTCTATGTAGCAGACCTTTATTTCTATGGTTAAACACTTTAATTAACTCATTACTGTTTTAAGCCAAATCGTCATAAATTGAATCTCATTGTCATGATTTTGAGTTGCACAAGTCTTTTTGTGATTAAAGGCATTGCTTGTTAAGCAGCTCTGGAGACTTTTAACGAAGCCTAACATTTTGATGAGCAAGGTTATTAGAGGGAGATATTTTCACAATCAGGATCTTATGCACATTAAAGCTAAAAGTTATGATTCCTGGATGTGGAAAAGCTGGTTAGAAGCTAGGAAATCTTTGTCTCTAGGGGCTAGATACCAAGTAGGCAATGGGTTGGCTATAAATATATGGAATTCCCCTTGGATTCCAAATTCTTTAAATTTCAAACCTACCCCTTGTTTTACTGGGGATAGCCAAAGGCTTTGTTCTGTCTCTGATTTGATGATTGCAGGGGAGAAAAAGTGGGATAAAGAGTTGATCTACCAAACCTTTAATCCCTCTGATGCTGCAAATATTTTGAAGATTCATATCAGTAGAATGGGGCTCAATGACAGGCTGGTATGGCATCATGACAAGAGGGGTATCTTCTCTGTCAAAAGTGCCTACCATGTGATTCAGCAACAAAAAAGGAGAAGGTTGGGTGATATAGAAGCTAGCAATGGCAGAGCTCAAAGACAGAGGCTGTGGAAAGTGGTATGGCACTTGCCTGTTAAAGCCAAGCTTAGAAATTTTATTTGGAAGTGTTGGCATGATTGGCTGAGTACAGGGAAAAGACTAAATCAGAAAGGGATTGGGGTGGATCCCATTTGTGGCTGGTGTGGGATGACAGAGGAGAGTTTAGAGCATTTGTTCTTTTCATGTGATAGGGCCCAGAAAGTTTGGAAAATAGCAGGTCTGCAATGGGAAAAATTACAGGTACCTGGTATGAAATTTAGGGATTGGTGGGGGGATATTTGTATGATGAAGAAAACCATTCACAACACCAACAGGATTGCACTTTCTACCTATTTATTGTGGTGGTTGTGGAAGACGAGGAACTGCTGGATATTTGAGAAGAAGAAGTGTTCAGAAATCCAGCTGGTGGGATTGGCCAGAGAGGAGTGGTTGGAATGTGAGGCATCCTGTGACATGGACACCTCTCAAGGAGTGCAGAACAGAAATATGGAGATTGGAGAGGGATCTGGCTCTAATGGGGAACAAGGAGTAGGGATGCAATTAGGTGCAACCAGTGCTACTGTCTTCTCACCAGGGTTGGATGGGCATTTTGGTATGGCATGGACAGAAGGGCAGGTGGTGGAGCAATGGACCTATTCTAGGGAGGACTCATCTAGTCTTTCAGTGGAAGAGGAGCTGCTGGAGGTTAGGAAAAGGCTAGAAGATGGTTTACATGGGCAATGGCAGCAGGTGGAAATCTGCTTCTCCAATAGAAGGCTGGCTCAGAATTTGGCAAAAAGAGAGTATTTTGATAATGCATTATGTATTGTAGCAGCTGATATTTTTGAACTATGTAATAACTTTAGGACTGTTCACTTTGCTTATTTGTAATCTGTTATTTGTTAGATTAGGAAGACCGTGGTGGTCATTTAGGGTCAAGCTATCTGGTTTGATCCCATTGTTAGTCCTTCACTGAGTTTACTTGGCAAAGGGCTGATTGTAATCCGTTGGTTACCGGATATTGTTCTTATGAGTTTTTGANACTTGGATCATAATTGATCTGTGGAAAATTAGCCATTGACATTATATAAATCCAACTCCTCAAATTCTGGAATATCCCACGTTTTACACATTCTATTATACACCGTGGATGTTTTTCTTTTTTCTTTTTTCTCTTTGCTCTTTGAACTCATCCATCTTATATTAGATCTAAGTCATAAATGTTTTTTGACTACACAAACCGAGTAGTTAGTTGATGAGTAAATATTAAATCTTATCGTCATACTTTTTAAATACTATAAATTAATATTTTTAAAAAGTTAAAAATTTAAAAATACTTCTAAACCCTTGCATCAAGTGTCCAACATCCGAATAACATACCTGAATCTCCAACAATTCAAAACCAAACCAAACTCTTGAATCTTGATGTACCCAAATAAATCACACTCTCGAATCCTGATATACCCAAATAAATCAAACATAAGTACTCACGTTTGTTGAAATTCTCTATCAAACTCTCTTCCCCAAAAAATTGTATCTGGTCACAAATTATCATATTACCTTCATATATATAAAAAGTAAACATTTTTATTGAACTGTAACAACTATTCATGAATATTTATTTGCACGAATATTGTTCGGTTGATGTAATTTTTTCATGAATAGTTATATTTTTAATGTGCACGAAACCATATTTTTAAATATTTATTTTGATTTTGTATTCATACAAATTATTAATTTATATCATTGATAAAATAATTGTCGTTTTATATATTTGGGTTGCATTTGAATTGATATTATGAAGTCCGTTTGTATTTTACTATTTATTTTTATATATATAATACAAAATAGTAATATATATCCTTATAAATAAAATTTAAATTTATTTATCAAACTAAATTAAATTATATCAAATAAAATTATAAATTATATAATAAAGTAATAGAAATTGGTATGTATTCTTTTAAAAATGATGTTTATTTCAAATCTAATTGGTATGTTGTCAATGTAATAAAAAAATATTTATATAAATTCTAAAATTGCATATAAAGTTAAAAAACTGTGAAGCTTTAGACATCTAATTAAGTAAAAAAATTAATCTATTTTGTTTAATATTAAATAAACATATTCTACACTTATGCATATACATATCACCATATTATTTTTATTTATTTAAGATATATATTTTTGTACTTATGTAGGTAGTAAATAATATCGATATTTTTATATAATAGAAGTAAAAAAATTCAACAGGTTGACATTTTCATTTAATATACGGGTGTTTATTTATTATGATTAAAAAAATATAATTTAATAATTTATTTAAAACCTAAAGTAACGTTTTATATTAAATTAAATTATTTTAATTCTTAAAACGTGTGTTTTGAATTATATCATTGTCTTTTGTCCCACCAGCGGCCCGAATAAGGGTAGCTGGAACAAAACTATCGATACCCCTCTTACAACATTGGACTTTATCTATTGGGGAGCTTACTTTTCTATTCTAGAAGGTTTATCAAAACAATAATAATATTTATTAACAAAACATATTTAATATATTTTTTTATAAACAATTAATTTTATCTTTATAAAATTCATAATTGTTTTAATATAAATTAGAAAAATAAAATTATTTATCAGAAAATATATTTATAAACAAAAGGTGGTATTTTTTATTTTTGCATTTTCATACGACAACATGTGTTTTTTCTATTACTTTATGTTTTATAATTTTTTTTCAAACAACTCGTGTAGTACACGAGTGTCGTACTAGTACTTTTTAAATACAAATGCATATTTACATTATAGAATATTATACTTTTATTAATATTAATTTTTAAAATAGGACATTTAAGAAAGTATGGCATATTTTGTTGAATCGTATACCTTAGCCTACCTAACAATCGAACTTGGTGATATTATCGACAAGGTTCAGTAATTAACATATTCATGATTCTAGTGACACAAATAGAACAAATAACCAAAAGTAGTCCATGTATCACCCAATTTAATGTAATTAGAACATATATTCTCCGGAACTTTTCTTCAATCATCAATCATCATATTATATTGTTGATTTTCCTAAACCATTAGAATACTAAAACTAGTCAACNTTTCGTTTATATTTGGCATTTAATTAATTTTTATTTTATAAGCAAATCTTATATATTGAAAAAGTAATTATTTTTTGTGTACTCATTTGCTACTATTCATTGACTATAAATTTACTTAAAATAGAATTATTTTGACCATAGATTGATTAGATAGATTTTCAATAAGATCTTAATATTAATTTCGTAGTAATTTATTGATACAACGAAAAAAAATATTATGAAAATTTATTTGATTATATATATTATCATCTATGGTTGTAGGTACTAATTTAATTAATTATATTCATCGACCATAAATAATTAAAATATATAATGAAATAATTAGAATAACAATGCTTGAATCATACTAATTTAATGAATAATATAATATTAATAAAATTTTATTATTTATAGTCAACTTAACCGCAAAAGTGTAAATATCCATTAAATATATCAATTGTAATGATAATACTACTGAAATTAAAATAATATATTAATATAGTTAACATTTAATAGTCACGTACGATTCATAATTATATATTTCACTTTAGAAATATCTATGTACATCAAAAAACTATTCAAGCTTTTTTAAAAAATATATAATTTTTAATATATACTATTTTATAATAAAATAAAGTAACTAAAATAATCAAGTATCATAATTGATTATAGCACTTGGTAATCATGGAAATACATAATATATCTAAATATTCGAATGGATACTAATAAACTCATTATATATATTGAAAAATGAGTTAAGGAAATAAATATTAACAAAAACTATAAAAATAAAAATAACATATTTTACCATGAATAAATTTTTATAGGATCAAAGTTACTAAAAATTAAAATATAACTAACAAACATTTTAACATTTCGTGCACTTAGAATTATAATGAGGGAATATAAATATTATGGGTCAAACGTTGATCAATTATCGAGCAATGTGTAAATTATGAACTGTAAAAACGTGATAAGACTAAGATAATCAACAATTTCATAAGTACATTTAAGTAATTTGGATGCAAATATCATACGATCTTATATATTTGTGATGTAAACAAAATTTATATATTAATAGTCCAAGACAAGTAGTTTTTTTTATAAATAATAATAATAATAATAGCAAATAAATAAATTCCTCCTATATATTAATTAAAAACGTGTTGAGCCTAAGTGACAGGTTCGCACGCTTTGGAATCATACGTGTCAAAATATCATGCTTTTTTTATTTAGGTTCGGATAAGAATTTTAGAAACTAAATTGGCTTGGAATCAACCATAAATAATTATTTTATCTTACACTATTGCCTCGCATAAATCTCTCTTTCATTACCATAAATTTATTGCCTCCCATACTTAAATCTCTCTTTCCTTACTTTTTCTTATTTAATTCATATAATAATTGTTATAGATATGTATTCTTTTCATTTTTAAATCTTTATAATTTTTTATTTGTATTTATTTTTGTATATTATATCTCAAAATAATCATATTTTGACGATCTTCGATTTAACATCTATATTGCATATATATAATAAAAAATAATTACATCTTTCATTAAAATAAAACTAAATTTATTAAAAAATAATTTTAAGAATATAAATACGATATAAATTATTTTATAATAAATATAATAACAATCTAATTTAGTAATACGCCATAAAATATTTATTTTAATGCATTTTTTTATAAATTTTAAATAAAATAAAATTAAGTACAAAAAAAGAGGCCCCGTTCTGAATTAATTACTATTTTGTTAGTTATTCACTATTTTTATATATTTATTATACATAACTTTACAATAAAAAAATAAATTATTTTAATTTTCTATTGTACAAATATTGATATATTTAACTACCCGTATAGTACATCGGTATCGTACTTGTTTAATATTACTACTAAATTGAATATTATGTTAAATAGAATTGCATATTGTCTAAAATAATAAAATGCTTTTTGTAGTATATTTCGTAAATTGCCCCGTTACCCAAATTTTTTTAACATGTCTCTAGTTTTTTACATTGAATTTGAGTTGTAGAGAAGAGGCAAATCGGGTGGACAGCAAAATACACATGCTAGTCCAATTATCAATTTGTCATTCAAATTCAACAATAATTTGTCGTCTAAAATATACTTTGGTTCAGAATATTTGACTTCAAGGGTTCAACAAGAATTTATTTTAATTAGCCAAGCTACTTTCGAATATTTAATTAACTCAAATTACATGTTTTTATTGACTTCGAGAGAAATATTCGCTAAAAATATAATTTTGAAATAGATCATGGTAGAACACTGAGAACCTATTAAATTAATATAGATTCAAAAAGATTTAGATGTATAGTAATTAGTAAGCCAACTCTGAACAATTTTCGCCAGTACTTTTGACTTTTGAGTTAATTCAACAAATACATACACCAAATCATTCAAGCTAGACTGAAATATCAAACAAATGACATTAATCAAACTGGAACAAGCGCACAGTTTCTCTGCAAAAACAAGGTTCAGCACTACACATTTCAACACTCACTCGTCTATCTTCTTTATGCATCTTTGCCGGTGACGACTTGAGCTCACATGAGGTTTTTCGCCACATTCCACAGTAAATATGTTTTAATGTGTAGGGAAAACCTCACCTATGCAAAACCTGCATTGGTAGAATCATGAAAACCCTGGTTCGATAAGCAATCTAACATTCAGTCTTTTTTCTTGAAGTTAAAATTAACCTTTCAAGCTTTCAAATGTTTCTAGAGACAAATCTGCAATGCAAAAGACTATCATCGTAAATCCAACTCATAAC